GCAAAAATAAAGTTTCCGTAGACTGAGTTTAAACACATTTTTTCACTTAAAAAAAAAATATTTATGCTTAGAAACATAAAAAATAATAATATTTATGTATTAATGGATAATTTTAGGCGTGAAAATAGCAGCCATTTCACAGGCACTTTGAAGCTCTACTTTCTTTGCTACTTCATTGTAGTTGCGTTTATGTAGACGAGTGAGAATCATTAGCACTCATACACATGTATCCATGGTCATTCAAGAAGTGTTAGAAATCAGTTTCCTGGAGCTCCCTGCCATGTTGCAATTGACTTGAGTCAGATTGTCTTATCTATTTTGGCTTCCTTTAAATGTGGACAACTGTATACAATGTAGCACTGTAATCAATGTGTCTTTTTCAGGATATACAATAATAGAATATTGGACTGACATATCATACTACAATGACTCACTCATTCTGCTTAAACTTGTTTCAGAATCAAGTTTTAGACAACATTCCCAGGCAAGTCACATCTAAAGTATTTATCCAGAGGGATTATTCTGAAGGATCTGGTGTCAAATTTATTACCAAATTTCCAACAGATTTAGAAGGCAAAGTAAGTATTTTTTTATGGCTATATCAGAATAGTGGATATTCCGCTCACTGCAAGATCCCGTGAGATACCTTGACAACGGTTGTCAGCCATGTGACACAGGTCAAGCTTTGGCTCAAAATGGCATCCTTGCATAACGTTGTACGTTGTTTGTTGACCTTATTTCCACATTGATTTGTTAGTTTTATCGTTCTTTTTACGTTTGATGATGGATGATGTCGACAAACACACAGTGCTACAGCTCAAGAGCCTTTCACATAAATTATGTGTTTCAACATTAATGAATACTGGTAATCGCTTTTATACAAAATGTATGACATAGCTTGGATATCGACCACCCTGAATTCGTTGTGAATGCTTAGACCATGCTTCAACAATGACCTGTTACTTCATGCCATATTCAGTTTACCTATCAAAAATTCCAAGTTACCAATTTTTGAAATACCCAAGTCATTTATTAGGGGAGGATGTAAAGCTTGGCCAAGTGAGATCTCGCAGTGAGCGGAGTATGGCTTATTTAATGGAATTATCACCTTGTAGTATCAATGCAGTTCACTGTTTGCTGGTTGCTACTGTCTGTGAATCATCAGTATCAATTGGTCATGCGTTTCCATTCGTTGCAAGTGTCAGAATGTTCGTGTAGAAAGTTATTAGGAATTCCAATAGAAGTCATACATTGTATATTAAAATATTACTTATTTTGATTATAGAAACATTGTTTTGTTTTTTTTTCGTACATACAAATGTACATATGAATGTATACACTACTACATGTCATAGAGCATATATGATACTGTCTGAATTGTAAATTTTTTTTTCCATGAGAACTGAATTTATGAAAGTCTTTAAGATCTCAGTGATATATTCACTTATAAATTTTGTTGATTTTCTCTGGGGAAAATACTTTACATTACACTTGTTCATGTATGTTTGAATAAGATTTAAAATACACATGGATGAATAGTTTTGAAATATCATTTTGTTTTCTTCTTTTTTAGATTGAACATTCAACGTTTCAAGACACAATAGAAAAATTGAATTCTATGTTCGCAGAAGCTGAAGAGGTTGGCTCGCGTTCACACTGTGAGGGCTGTCTGGCATGTCTTACTGGATATACTATTTTTCTTTGTTTACCTACACACTATCAAAAGGTATAGGAATATACTTTATTTGCTTTTGCTGTTATACTATCTGGTTCATGTTTACATGCTTTTTTGTTTGGTATATATATGTCAACAACCAGACCCTTTTTAGCTCCGCTGTTGACTTTGTCGAGCGGAGCTTATCATACTGTATGAGTGATTGTCTGTCGTCCGTGTAAAGGTTTTACTTTTTCGACTTCTTCTTGAAAACTACAAGCCTGAATGCTTTAATACTTGGTGTATATGTACCTTGGGTAGACCTCTCTTAGGTTTGTTCATTTCGTGATGATATCTTCAATTCTCTAATTTTGGTGAATATTTTTGTCATTTTTAGCTCCGCTGTCGACTTTGTCGAGCGGAGCTTATCATATGAGTGAAGTGATTGTCCGTCGTCGTCCGTGTCAATGTTTTACTCTTTCGACTTCTTCTTGAAAACTACAAGCCTGAATGCTTTGATACTTGGTGTATATGTACCTTGGGTAGACCTCTCTCAGATTTGTTCATTTCATGATGATATCTTCAATTCTCTAATTTTAGTGAATATTTTTGTCATTTTTAGTAATAAGTGATATTTTCAACTTCTTGTTAAAAATTGCAAGTTCAATTGCTTTGATATTACATATATAGGTACTACATGTGGACCTCTCTCAGATTTGTTCATTTTGTAATGATATCTTTAATTCTCTAATTTTGGTGAATATTTTTGTCATTTTTGGTAAAAAGCGATATTTTCGACTTCTTGTTGAAAACCGCAAGTCCAATTGCTTTGATATCACATATATAGGCACTACATGTGGACCTCTCTCAGATTTGTTCATTTCATGATGATATCTTTAATTCTCTAATTTTGATGAATATTTTTGTAATTTTTGGTAAAAAGTGATATTTTCGACTTCTTGTTGAAAACCGCAAGTCCAATTGCTTTGATATAGTATACATATAGGTACTACATGTGGACCTTTCTCAGATTTGTTCATTTTCTAATGATATCTTCTGTTCTTTAATTTTGGTGTGCATTGCTAACAGCGGAGCTATCTCAGCCGACAGGCTGCTTGTTGGTAAAAAGTGATATTTTCGACTTCTTGTTAAAAACCACAAGTCCGATTGCTTTGATATTACATATACATTTGTATAGGTACTACATGTGGACCTCTCTCAGATTTGTTCATTTTGTGATGATATCTTCAATTCTCTAATTTTGGTGAATATTTTTCTCATTTTTGGTAAAAAGTGATATTTTCGACTTCTTGTTAAAAACCAATAGTTCAATTGCTTTGATATCACATATATAGATAGTACATGTAGACCTTTCTCAGATTTGTTCATTTCGTGATGATATCTTCAATTCTCTAATTTTGGTGAATATTTTTGTCATTTTTGGTAGAAAGTGATATTTTCGACTTCTTGTTAAAAATTGTCCGATTGCTTTGATAATATACATATTGTTCATTTTCTAATGATGTCTTCAGTTCTTTAATTGAAATGTGCATTGCTATTAGCGGAGCTATCTCAGCCGATAGGCTGCTTGTTGTTTCTAGTGGTCTAGAATACGACTCTCCTGAACACATTACTGTGGGTGTGTGTTGTTGTTGTTGAAGGAAGGAGACTATAACTTGTAACTGGCTCATCTCCTGAACTTAGTTTATGCTCTAAATCATGTTAAATAATTCACCTTTTGTTGATGGATTTTATTTATAACATGTTTGGACTGATTTTAAACTAGTTTCACTGTCCTGTAAAATACACATGATAATTCTATTCAAAAACCATGTACCGTAAAATCAACCAAGAAGCTGCTGTTTCTAATACAGATTTTACACTACATGTATGTGTGAGAGTGAAGACATGACAAGTGTTGACCACAGATAAACATTACTGGTATATGTAATTTGCTTAACAATTACATGATAATCACTATTCTGTATTCCTAGTTACAGTAATCTTTTTTGATTATCAAAACCACTATGTTGGTGGTATTTCTTGTACCTATATTCACAATTTCAATGTTTTTTGTCATGCAGTGTTTGAAGCGGATAGCAAGGTTTGTGCAGGAACAAAATGATACGATATATGTGCCTAGGGGCCTCATGATTACAGATCCAATGGAAAGAGGACTTCGAGTTGTATCCTTTTATTTATTACCGGTAATGAGAAATTATGATGTAATACTTTAAGTACCAGGGTAAAGGCATGAAACTACATGATACATTACAACAAGCTTTAAACACAATTCCTGGTGGTGCACCCATGCCTTGTCTTGTGGTGTGTAACCATTAATTCATCCTTTTCATAGAGTCAGTCTTTTTACTGACTGTGTTGATTTTCAGTGTACTTCTCTTAGCCACTTGGTTCTCCATCACTACACTGCTGTTTTAAAAACCACAATTTATATACTTATCACATGATGCCGCCTGCACACCAATCTTGTACATATACTTGTCTGGGCTTCCTCTTAGCCTTCGTCTGTGGTCAATGAAAAATTCATTTAGATTTAGCTACAATAAATTGTGCCACTATCATCATTATTGCCTAAGGATAACTTTCCAAACCATGTCATGTCATGCCAGTAATGTTTCCAATTTTCTGACAAATTCGTGTTTTTATTTTCTTCCCATTTGCGAAGTAGCTAAACCAGTTGAAAATTTGTGAAAAAAAGAAATATCGCATTTGCTGATGTAACTAAAATTAAGAAGCAGAAGCACAGCCAGTATACCATGTGTAAACTGGACACTGTATAGCCTGTTATTAGCATTGTAGGCAGCTTGTATGAACACAGGGGTAATGATTATTAAAATTGAAGCATGGTTGTCATTGCGCCAAAACTTTATGATCTATGGTTCCCATACATTTAAATATACCAACTTTGAATGTTTTGCAGAGCAATGCATATGAAAAGAAGAAATGTTATCAAGGTTAGACTAGGTAATTTCTTGGTTTGGAGTGCATTAAGTTCAAAACACATTTTCATGCTTGCCATTTTGAGAGTGCATTTGATTGTGAAAAGAATCACTTTATCAGCACAATTCTGACACTTGGGTGGCATGACCCTTTAAACGAATTAGATATATAGCATACAGTTTGAACCTATAAGTCTTTTAGTCATTGAAATTTAGCTTCTATTTGCCTTGACTCTTATTTTTCAGATTGAAATAAACATACTTCGTCAGGACACTTGATGGCAAAGTTGAGGTATAATTATTTGATGGCGTGTGTACAGTATACAGTGTCAAACAGTGTCTTAATATTAGTGAATTTACACCTTTATAATAGTGATTTGTAAAGACATACAGTAGTAGTCTTACTCCATGCTATGTAGTATCACATTCAACAACCTTAAACCTACTAGAGCACTTATTTTTTTCAAACGTTTGAGTTTTTACACTAATATAGAATAGATCAAAAGAATTTAGAACTTATTAAAAATGGTTGGTATCACTCAGTGTAAGAGTTGTATTGTCAGCAAAATTTTGTTGAAAGGCCTAAATTAGCTAAAACTCAAATCTGCAAGTTATAAAGTTGTGAGTTTAATCAAAATCTGATGAATTTTATTGACTAAATTATTATTGTATTCACTAAAATAAATCACCTTCCCTGTATAGCTGTTTTGAATTTTGATGCGGGTGTTTGCTAAATATAACAAACCTGCGAAGTACATAATTTTTATGTACATGCATGTAATTTTAAAAGTTCGCCTGGGCGCATTGGCAGCGCGAGTAAAAAAAGTGGTGATATCAATTAGGAAGTAAGGGCTGTGCACAAATAACTATGACCAATTTTAAGAGAAAATACTCCACACAAAATTTTATCTTAAATCAGCCAACAAAAAATCTTGGATGTGTTTTTGTAACTTGATGACACCCTAAAATTCTGAAAACCCAATTGCATGGATCTACGGAAATGCTCGGTAATTTGCTGATTATGGCAAAAAACACCTGATGCTGATATTTTGCTCATACATGTACATAATGTTGATTAAATGATGCATATTTCTGGAATTGACAAAGGTTTCAAATAAAATATTGTTGACAATGCATCTTTTAAGTTGTTATGGTTGCAAAGTGCACAAAGTACAGTGTACGTCAGGAACCCGGAGTGTTAAAAGTTGTATTTTGAGATCATTTGTACATGTATAGCTTTATTGGGATATGGGGACTATTATGTGAAATGTTATATGATGGTCTCAATTTGCACAAACAAATTTCAATTTTCCATTTGATATGTTCATATTCATTTGCTAATGCTTTTGATTAGTGTTATGACACAAAGATTTGTTCCAATATAACATTTAATAGCCACAAGACCCCAATGAAGCAACTCTAGCTATATATACACAGCTTCAAAAATGTTGTATTGGAATAATAAACCATTGCCTGATATACCACATGATATAGCACAGTGAGATGACATGCTTGTGAGTAATATGGAATAATGTGCAATGTTGAGTGGTATTCAGTGTTCAACAAGATTTCATTGTTGTACTATGGCACTTTTTCAGCAGCAACCTATCATTATTAATTTGTTTTGTAATGGTGGTATACTATGAATATATGCATCATTCTCTGTTTGAATATGTGACATCAAGGAATAATGTCAATGCTACATACTATGACGTCATGGTATAATGCTACATACTATAACTTTATGGTATAATGCTACATACTATGACTTCCTGGTATAATGCTACATACTATGACTTCATGGTGTAATGCTACATATTATGACCTGATGGTATAATGCTACATACTATGACTTCATGGTATAATGCTACATACTATAACTTTATGGTATAATGCTACATACTATGACTTCCTGGTATAATGCTACATACTATGACTTCATGGTGTAATGCTACATATTATGACCTGATGGTATAATGCTACATACTATGACTTCATGGTATGATGCTACATACTATGACTTCATGGTATAATGCTACATACTATGACTTCATGGTATAATGCTGCATACTATGACTTCATGGTATAATGCTACATACTATGACTTCATGGTATGATGCTACATACTATGATTTCATGGTATAATGCTACATACTATGACTTCATTGAATAATGCTATCGTACATACTATGACTTCATGGTATAATGCTTCATACTATGACTTCATGGTATAATGATACATAATATGACTTCATGGTATAATGCTACATACTATGGCTTCATGGAATTACTACTACATAATATGACTTCATGGTATAATGCTACATACTATGACGTCATGGATAATGCTACCTACTATGGCTTCATGGTATAATGCTACATACTATGACTTTATGGTATAATGCTACATACTATGGCTTCATGGTATAATGCTACATACTATGACTTCCTGGTATAATGCTACATACTATGGCTACATGGAATACTACTACATACTATGACTTCATGGTATAATGCTACCTACTATGGCTTCATGGTATAATGCTACATACTATGGGTCATGTTATAATGCTACATACTAGGACTTCATGGTATAATGCTACCTACTATGGCTTCATGGTATAATGCTACCTACTATGACTTCATGGTATAATGCTACATACTATGGGTCATGTTATAATGCTACATACTAGGACTTCATGGTATAATGCTACCTACTATGGCTTCATGGTATAATGCTACCTACTATGGCTTCCTGGTATAATGCTGCATACTATGACTTCATGGTATAATGCTACATACTATGACTTCATGGTATAATGCTACATACTATGACTTCATGGTATAATGCTACATACTATGACTTCATGGTATAATGCTACATACTATGACTTCATGGTATACTACTACATACTATGACTTCATGGTATAATGCTACCTACTATGGCTTCATGGTATAATGCTACATACTATGGGTCATGTTATAATGCTACATACTAGGACTTTATGGTATAATGCTACATACTATGACTTCCTGGTATAATGCTACATACTATGACTTCCTGGTATAATGCTTCATACTATGACTTCATGGTATAATGCTTCATACTATGACATAGTAGTATATGGTATAGAGAGCTACTTCATTCTACAGGTTCATAGTATTGTTAATTTTCATTATTATCAAGGGATCAGTCAAAGTAATTTGTCTGAATAATAGTATGTATGCTAAATAGATGTTGGGTCATGTTATTGTAACCACCACTAGTGGATCCCCGAATGTTCGCTTATCAAGATTTCATCTCACATAGATTATAACTAGGAGGTAGCAGGATAAACATAATAGTGGTTTTAACCTTTTCACCACCAGTTCCCTCTTTTCATCACAAATTCACAATAAGATTGGGCCAAAAATATCAAAATTTGTTGGGTAAAAATTGAGTTAAATTGTGCCTGTTGGCTCTCATTTTCAGAAATATTGAAGAATATTAAAAAAAAAGTTTGACAAATTTGGGCGAGTAAGTCTGGTGTTGAAAAGGTTAATGACCTACTCAGACAAGGATTTTGTGTGACCCTCTGATGGTCTATAGGAAACTTTAACTTCATTTGCCCATGTCTATTTATACTGACAGTCATTATGTCAAAGCGTTATAAAGAAAAAATATGATTTGACTGTCGGTGTAATTATAAAAATGTTGTAATATAATGAAAAATAATTGATTAAAAAATTGAAACATGATTATAGCAAATATTGGGATGTGTAGGACACAAGCTATTCCTTATTTATGAAGCCCTTGAACATGGAGCATCAATTGAATTCATTTTTCTTTTGTGACAAATAAATGTTGCTATCAATCTATTGTTTTCTTAAGTAAGGTGCATCATGGGAGTATTTCTTTGCACAATGCCCAGAGATATGCTTTTTATTTTTCATGTTGAGGGCGCTATCCTTACAGCTTTGACTTTCCCCCATAGTTATGACCAGATTGTGTTTATGAATGCCATCAAATCGTGGTAATTCCTAGCGTAGGTCTGGGGAGTCTGTGTGCGTGTAGATATGCTGACACACACCATGCTTGTGTTTTTGTGTAGTAAACCATATTGTATATTTTGTAACTCAAGTTAGTCATATGTTATCCAGATTTGAAATTTATACTGCACAGATTATACATTGTGTTGAGAATAATGCAGGGAAAGGGACATCTTTAATTCGGGTGATTTTTTTTTTTTTAAACAGTTGAGAATATGTAGTGCTGTAGTTTAAACAGATTACACATTAAATATCTAGACTGTATTTTATAATTTTCATGTATTTTATCAAATTTATTATAAATATTATCAGTTCTTGTTGCCTGTTACATTTTCGTACATATATGTCTATAAAGGCTTTGTAATCATGCTAGCCACTTCATTCTGTAACAGTACATTGGAATTTGCTGTGAATATCAGAGAATCATTTTGACACCAGTCACTGTGACCTCTATATTGTGTCTTCTAAATATTTTATATGGTGGCGGTCGAGCATTATAAAAAAAGTCAGTGATTGGATTTTTCTTTTTTTTTAATTCAAATCTGTAAATATCAAAAAGTCTGAATTGTTATAAAATACAAAGCATTTGTAGCTCATAGTTGATGTAAATATTTTTGCAAGTTCTATGATCCTTGTGATGTTTTTGATTTGTGTACTGCATCATAATTTAGGGGGGGGGTATTCATATTAGATCCTGCCTATTGTGCTGAACTCAATATTGAAATTTACTGATAATGAATGTATTTGCATTGTGGGACTATAACATGAGGTTTTTAACTGGTATATGACAGCAGCAGTTTTGTCAGACTAGCTTTAATATTCAGGATGTGCGATTACATGTTTATTTTTCAGCTTAACATCTATGATGTACTTCATCTATGTGAAGTTTTATTTCCTAGCATCGCTGGTATACTCGTTCAATCATAGTTGCAGCATAAACATAATTCAATTTATTTCTACCACAGCTGTTATGAATTGGAGACATTTTGGTTTAGGATATCAAGTTGTTGTGAATATGTGTAGTTTAATTTACCATGTTTGCTCTATAAGAAGTGCATCTCCAATAGAGGCAATTACAAACATACATCACTGTTGTTGTTTACTGATTTACATAAATATTATTTATTTTGATCATCAAATACCACTTAAATTTATGTAAACAAATATAAGCAATACAGTAGTCAATTTGTTGCACATTCAGCACTCAGTCGACATATGACCATACAAATTCTAGAATTCTCATTGCCCAGTTCATGACAGCTGTTATGTAGAATTTATGGTTTAGTTAGATAGCTATGATTCACTAAATAGAACAGCATGCAAGTTTTGTATATTTTTTTTTTCTGGTCTGTCTTGGAAGATAAATTGTATGTACAGACTAAAATTGATGTAATCTACAAAATATATATGCACAGCAACCACAAGATGCATGACAAATTTGTTGAGTGTACAGTTTGAAAATTGTGTAAACATGAAGTGTATTGCATCTTAGTTTTGTACAGTTCTATTTTATGTCAATAGTAAAATACATT